AGCTGAAGCCCGGTCATTTCAAGAGGGAGGGCGAGCCACCTGGGCTTGGGACAGATTACGGCCTGCTGATTACGGCCACCCCATTTCACAACTCTTTGCATCCCCTGGTCCCTTCCCAGAAAGCCGGTGAGTCAGGGCAAGAAAGCAATGGACCACTGCCAGGGCAGCTAGAAAGTGAGTCAGCAGGATCTGCTGCGGATGCTGTCCCCCCCCTTAACCCCCCATGGAGTTTGCTGGCAGGGAGCCCGGTTCTCCTGTGGCCTGCATCGGGGATGTTTGGTTTGTTAACAAATGGCAGAGCTCTCGCTCCTTGGCTCTGCGGAGTGAGAGGAGCACACGGAAGAGCTCCCTCAGCCTCTCATCCTGTCAAACCATTCCCGGACACTGTGCGTCCTCCTTCCCCCTTAGCTCCTCAGCTCAGGTGGGGGGAAGCCACTGCTAGTTAATGCCACCAGGCTGGAAGCCAAGATGAAGGACAGAAGAAGGATGCTTTGCCTGGCTCTGTCTTGCTTGCATGTGGTTCTTTTTATTAAGGGATGGGGGCTCATTTGCTCCAGATTAGTTTCTGGGATGGTCTGGGTGCACAGGGCTCCCTCAATTCATGCACTTGATCCTGCCACATAAATCTCCAGGACTGACCTGACTTTAGAAGCATGTAGGTGGGACTAGGGCAAGTCCATCCTTCGTGCAAGGCCATTGGCTTCAAGGGGGGTGATCCTAGGGCTGGATTTGGTTGTCTGCTCTTTCCCCCTCCCCCCACCAACATTGCTGGGCTGCTGATCAGGATCCACAACCTGTTTGCTTTGTGATGCTGCCCCTGCAGCATCTCCCTCCGCCGAGGTGGCCCTGAAACGAGCAAAAAGTCACAGCAAAGGGCCGAGAGACGCTGTTTAAGCCCAGTTATTCCTCCACCCGACACAGGCTATGCAGACCGCATGGCACTTCCAGGCAGCAGTGGGGTAAGAACTCCCATCCTCCAGCTCCGGAACCAGACAGCGCTGCTGTGCGAACAAAAGTGGATTCCTTACTCCCCTGCCTGGTCTTGGATGCAAGCGTAAGTGGTCTTGCTTCTCTCCAGCAGAGGGCGACGGTGGAACTCCTTGCCTGAGGAGGGTGTGAAGGCTGGGACGATAACAGGGTTTAAAAGAGAACTAGGTACATTCATGGAGGTTAAGTCCATAAATGGCTATTAGCCAGGATGGGTAAGGAACGGTGTCCCTGTGTTTGTCAGAGGGTGGAGATGGATGGCAGGAGAGAGATCGCTTGATCGTTACCTGTTCGATTCACTCCCTCTGGACACCTGGCATTGGCCACTGTCGGCAGACAGGATACTGGGCTGGATGGACCTTTGGTCTGACCCAGTGTGGCCGTTCTTATGCACATGTAGCTCAACCAGCTCCTCATCTCTTTACTGCCCCAGCGCCAGAGGAGGGACTGCAGGCAGACGGGAGCTGAGCTGATTTCGCACTCAGGGCTTCCCAGGTTCAAATTCGCACTCAGGGCTTCCTAGCTCCCAAGCCTGGGCTTGGATCCTGCACCTTTCTCGTGCACCAGAACATCACTGCTTCCTCTCAGGAGGCTGAGCACAGACGGGAACTACTGGAAAGCAGAGGCCAGCGGGGCCCTATAGCCTACCACTGGCACTGGGCTTGCTGCTGCCACAATCCATAAGTCTTTGGAGCCGAGTTCTATCAATTTTACACTTCCTAAACAATATGTTCCCCCACCCCAGGTTTTCTGACAGTGTGTGTGGGGGGAGGGATGTGGGGTCCAAATGATTTTTTTTAAACAGTGCCAATAACTGTGGCTCCCATTATAATACAAAGGGCCTGTCCATTCATGGGCAACCGATATCTCCTGGAACTTTCCCTGGGAGTAAGCGAGGGTTATCCCTGGTGTCTCAGATGAAACCAACATAAGTAATTACATCTTGAGACCTTGATTTCCCCACTGCAGTTTCTCTTCTCCATTGCCTGACCCAAATGGCTGGGTAGCAGGCTGTTAAATCATTGTCATGCTCCACTCCAGAGTCAGCTGCATCTTTGCAATGTTCTGTATTCCTGAAGTATTGATGTGGGGCCGTATCCCTTCCCCAACTCAGCAGCTGCTCACATTGGGGCAGTGCAAAGTATTGTTACGGGAGCTGTCAAGGCTGGCCCCCTCCAGGCCCATCTCTGTGGTCAAGGAGACGTGCAAGACCGAAGGCTAAAGAGTCTTGAAACTGTGCAGGTGGAGCAGCTGGTCCTTCTTGAACCAGAGCTGCTCCCTCCACTATGTGACTCCACATCTTGGGCCAGAGTCTGCAGTGAGGATCTATGTTGAGACACTGGGGCTTGCATAGAGAGGTGCCTCCTATTGACCTTGGCCTAAGGCAGGGGTGGGGAGTGTAAGACCTGAGGCTGGATGCAGCCCCCGGCTTGCCTGGATCTGGCCCGAGGCTCAGGGCTCCCCCCAGCTTTGGGAAGCCCACGCTGGTGAGGAGTGGGGCTTTTTGTTTGTTTTGTTTCTCACTTGTGTGCAGCTCCTGATGGATTTTTTTTCTGCGGGTCAGTGGCCCCCGACCCAAATAAGGTTTCCCACTCCTGGCCGAAGCGATTGAGGCTCAGTGGAAGTTAGTTGTCGAAATAGCTTTGGATCTGGGCCCTCCTGCCCTTTTGTTTCCACTGAAATCCTTTAGAAACTAATCAACCTGTTTATAAGAATGCAGGTGACATAGTGACTGTTTAATAAAAGCATCATGACCAGAGCAGAGGACTGGGGTCATTCATGTGCTGCCCAGCTTATTAGCACAGTGCTCACAGTGCCCACAACCAACTTCAGGTGTTTCTACTGATGGTGCACATCTGCACATGCCTGGGTGCACGCAACAAAATTAATTCCACATGTGGATGAAAACAATTAGAGGGAACATTGACTAGGACTCACCAGACTTGGGGTCTAGTGCTGGCTCTGCCACTGACTTACTGTGTGATTGTGAGAGGGAGGTGCTCCGTGCCTCAGTTTCCCCTCTATTTCAGTGGGGATAATGATACTGAGCTTCCTTTATAAGGGCTTAGCCACATAAAGAAGTTATTCTGGAATAAGTTAGGGTGTGAATTTAAAGTGCTAATTATTCCAGAATCAGGGCATCCACAGAGGGTGCTTCTATGGTCAGTTTCCCTAGATAGCAAGGCCCTTCAATGTATTGCTCCTTTCTCCTGGCTATTGTCTTCACACTTGTCTCATGCTGCCCCTTGTGGTCGGGGCCCCCCTCCTCTTTTTATATCCCAAGCAATCCCTGCTTTTATCAGCCCAACCCCTCCTTCAATCGCATTCCTCCCGTGACTCTGTACAAACAGCATTAAAACACACAGCCCAGTCATAAAAAGCTGCCTTCGCGTTGGGCCTTCAGCGTGTATCCTATAACCCTCTACCATCTGTATTTGATTTAGACTCTGAGCTGGGGGAAGAGCATGGCTGCGTACAGAGCCGAGCAGAAAGTCATTGTTTATCAGAGGCCAAGGAGAGGAAGGAGCAGCTGGTGGTTAAGGCTTGGGCCTGCAACATAAAGGCCCTAGGTTCAACTCGTGGCTCTTCCACGTGCTCTGTGGGGCTTGGGGAAGTCACGTGATCTGTGCCTTGCTATGTGCTTCACATCTCCCCCCCCCACCTTCTCTTTGGGGCAGAGACTCTCTCACTGGGATGCCATGCATGCACAGGCTTATGCACACGCATCACGTTTTCTCACAGTGGGCACAGCAGAACCTCCCAGTTACAAGCACCCTGGGGACTGGAGGTTGGTTGTAATTCTGAACAAAGCATTAAGACCTTAAGAACGGCCATACGGGGTCAGACCAACGGTCCATCCTGCCCAGCATCCTGTCTGCCAACAGTGGCCAATGCCAGATGCCCTAGAGCATGGGTTCCCAAACTGGGGGGGCATGAAGAAATTCCAGGGGGGGCGCAAGGTGATCCATCCCCCCCAGAAACTCCCTCCTCCCCAAGTTTTGCTGCTATTTTTGTTTTCCGGTCAGTTCCTCTTTTTTTTGCTCAACAATTTTTGTTGCTGGGGAGGGGGGGGGGGCGTGAGGCTTTCTCAACAATCAAAAAGGGGGCATTATGCTGAAAAGTTTGGGAACCACTGCCGTAGAGGGAGGGAACACAACAGGTAATCCTCATGTGAGCCCTCCCCTGTCAGCCACTTCCAGAGAAACAGAGGCTAGGAACACCATTCCTACCTACCCTGGCCAATTGTGGTTGCTCTTTCAAAAGTTTAGAATGGAACTTTAATACAGCTTTGAAATGCTACTGAGCAAGAGAAAACTGCTGCGTTTAAACCATCGTAATCTCAGTGGAAACAAGCACAGAAACGGTTTTGTTGCTTTGACACATCTTGTTTTTTTTTAAAACTCTCCCCCTGCCCTTTTTATTTAACACTGTGCTGTACTGTATTTGGTTTTGCTGGTCTCTGCTGCATGGTGGCCAACTTCTGGTTCCAAACGGGGCATCTGGTTGACCGATTGGTTTGTAACTCTGGTGGTTGTACCTCTGAGGTTCTACTGTACTCTTGTTACCCTCTGTGGGACTACTCAGTGTGCAAGGGAAGCATGTGTCGAAATAAGGCTTTGTGCCTATGTATATAGACAGCCCCTTGCATGATGGAATGCTGATTACAGCTGGACTCTCTGGGCACTCTTCTAATACAAATAAACAATAACATGTGGAAAAGAGCCTTAGAGAAAGCCTAATGCTATGCTGTTGAAGCACCACAAATTACTCCAGGAGCTGGCAACAATCTCTCCTGTATCAGTGACTAAGCCCTCAGCCCTACTATACCCAACATAAGAAGAGGCGAAGTCCAGGATAGCCTCTTTAGCACCTGGCCTGTGCTGTTTCTTTTCCCACACTCAGAAAAGTTGTCATATGGTCTGTCTTTGAGGGGAGGAGTCTAAAGGGATTTCTCTCTGGAGTTTGGATTCTTTCATCTTGATCCTGGGTTACTCCTCCTGGCCTCTCACCCAATTTTATCTGCTTCACATCAGTTGAGCTCCAAAACTAAGGGATCTTGGTGCAGGGTGGAAGAGAGACATTTGAAACCAGTCTGGCCTCTTCCTACAAGAAGAGCAGGGGATAATGAAGATTCTGCTGCACACAAGGATGTTAATGACAGATCATTAACAGAGGCTTAGAGGCAAGCAACATCCTTATATAGATGGGGAGTGCATGTAAACCCAGACACCTATACAAGACAGGACAAGGGAAGATAAGAGCCACAAACACTCCAGGCACCAGTGGCAACAGCAGCCTCACTTGGCTTTGCTTGGGGAGATAGGGGGGAATTGGATGCACTTTGCCTTTAACAGGCTCTTAGCCAAAAATCCGAGCTTGCAGGCATATATGCATTGGCTGTGTAACAATATCCCCACGTGATTGCCATGAAAGCCTCTGCAGGGAGGGAGGGAGGGAGGCAGCAGGAGAAAGAAACTTACAAGAGAGCTCCTGGGCGTCTCTGGTCAATTGCGCCGCGCGCAGAGAACCACAGCTGGGATGTGAAATTGACCAAAGTGCTGCAGGGCTGTCTCTCCACCCGCCCTTTCCCCCTTTTCTGCCCCTCGGTTCTTCTCTCCTGTTCCCTTTACCCTTGGGTGAGTTTCCAGTCACCCCCGGTCTCGGGGCCACATCCCTCAACATGCCTGAGCAGATCAGCGTCTCGGAGTTCCTGGCTGTGACTTCTGAAGATCTGAACTCCCCGGCTGCTTCTACCTTCTCTTCCAAAATGCAGAAGTGCCGGGGGGCGGTGGCGGCGCTGGAAGAGGTGAGTGAGGGGCTCCAGCAGCAGTGGAGGAGGAGATGGGGAGGAGGGTGTCCTGGTGGGGTTCTCTCCCTGTCGATTGGGAATTAAGGGCTTTTACCTTTTGTTTGGTGGTAGGTATTGTTACTGTAGGAGACAGCTTGGATCTGTGTCTTCTGCCTTGTGTGCCCCCCCCATTGACCTTTTTTTTGCCATCTTTCCTAAAATCAGGAGCGATTTGTCTTAGAGAAAAGGCGCTTTGCAGCATGCGTGCAACGGGCGGAAGAGTCTGTTTAGAGCTTCTTGCAAAATAGTTTAACAACCGGGCCCTGCGCTACCTGCTTCTCATTGTGTAACTGATTCTGGCCCAGCTCTGTATTTCATTTCCTCATTCTGGACACTGAAATCCTTTATATAGTTGGGAGACCAGCAGGATTTTGAAAGATGCTATTGTGTGTGGGGTTATTTTCTTTTTAAACCCCAACCACTCCACACTTACAAATGCTTTTCCTGATGTTGGCTGCTAACCACGCCTTCGATTATTGCAAAGTACATACTTTAAAGTCCATTTTGGCTTTCACTGTTTATGCTGGGTTTTTTGTGCTTCCAATATGGACTTTGGAAAATGAATCATTTGTAATGTAGCAGCGCACAGAGACCTCAACCTTGTACAGAAGTGTAAAAAGACACTGCCTGCTCTGAAGGCCCTGATCCTGCCATACACTTGGGGCACCTTTACACAGCAGGATTTAACTGGAAATAAGCTACTCAAATTGAGCTATGTCAATTGCATATCTTATTTCAAAATTGGGAGCATCTACACAGCACTTATTTGGAGATAGAGCCCTCTTCCTCTGATTTGCCTTACTCCTTGCACAATGAAGGTTACAGGAGTTAGAGTAAAAAGTCCTCCAGCTTGACAGTATTTTGACATTATTTTAAAATAACTGCTGGCTGTGTAGATGTGGGCTAAGTTGTTTTGAAATAAAGCTAGTTATTTTGAAATAATGTCGCTATATAGACGTACCCTTATTTCCATGTTTAACTAAGCTTGTGATGGATCCCATTGCTTTTTAATGGAGCTGTCTTGTACTTTCAAAGATAAACATGTGGATTGGCAGAGCTGAGGCTGAAACAGAGAAAATCGGGGAAGTATTCTCTATTTTGCTTTCGAGTTTTCTGTGTGTGATGCAGAAGGAGGTTTGCTTGTTTTGAAAGTATCATTTCCTTAGGACTGTTAAGAAATCACCGACATGTTTCAAATCCTGCTCTGGTTTTTGTAAAAGCTTGTTTGTCCCAAATCACAAGGCTGGGGCCAAATCCGGGTTGCTGTTATAGCTTTGGGGTTATTAAGAACCCGACAGTATTCTGCCACAATAACAGTTCCAAATGCCAATCCGGCTGCTGTGCCTGTTTCACACCATCCTTGTGAATACTGCACTATACATTTTTTTTTAGGAAGGGTGGTTTCCAGCTAGTTCTGTGCATTCTGCTGAGTCCTACTGGCAGAAGGAATGGATTTGAGGAACCGGGATTAGATCCTACAACTGGATGAGTGCCGGGTTTGGTCCAGTTGCATGTGCTGGATCCTATCCCGCCTTCTCCTATCCAGGCCCTCTTCTTCCCACTGTATAAGGCCAAACCTTGGGTGGTATGGGGAGAGTGAGCTGATTGCAGAGCGGACTGTTTGCGCTGACCAGTGGTACCCTGCACATCAGCTGTGTAGGGCATTAGCTCCATGACTATCTCCTGACTCAAGAGGATCACTGGTAAGATGGGAGAAAGATACCTCACCAGGGCTTTAGTGAAGCTTTAGAGCATGTTTGTCCTGCAGCTGGGAATGTGCCTCCAAGCTGGGGTAGACAACCATGCTAGCTCCAGTGTGCTAAAAGCTGCAGTATAGCGGGGGGTGGAGTGGGCGGGTGGGCAGCATGGGTGGAGGCGGAGTGTGTATTCAGGCGGCTAGGCTAGCTCCCCACTGCTGGCTGGGCGGCTAGTTCTAGCACACGAGTTTGAGCCGAGCTAGTGCGTGTCTGTCTACTGGAGGCCGGAAGTGCGCTCCCAGCGGCAGTGTAGACGTACCCTTCATAGGCACTGTCTGGCTGCTTTAATAGCCGGTGGGGACGGACCCCACAGCTCTTCCTTTGGCGTCTGAGCCGGTTCCCACTGACTTCAACAGGACTTGGATCAAGCCGGTCGCCCTGCTCTGTGCTGATGGCATAAGTGACGCCATGGAGGCTTAAATGAGGGCTGCTGTGTGCCTTGGTCTGGCCAGGAGGCACTGGGTGGCCATTTGCCTTCATCTGCTCCGTCAATTTCAGTTACTTTATGGGCAATAGCTTATGGTATATGGTGCCAGCAGGCCCCCAGAATCCTCCCTGTAGGCTGGGAAAGGGTCCTTTGGATGCGGGCAGGCTTATGTTTATGCCTACCCACAGGCCCCCAAAGAGCTGCTGTGTGCCTTGGTCTGGCCAGGAGGCACTGGGTGGCCATTTGCCTTCATCTGCTCCGTCAATTTCAGTTACTTTATGGGCAATAGCTTATGGTATATGGTGCCAGCAGGCCCCCAGAATCCTCCCTGTAGGCTGGGAAAGGGTCCTTTGGATGCGGGCAGGCTTATGTTTATGCCTACCCACAGGCCCCCAAAGAGCTGCCTGTAGGCTGGGAAAGGGTCCTTTGGATGCGGGCAGGCTTATGTTTATGCCTACCCACAGGCCCCCAAAGAGCTTCAGCCATCTTTACCGTGTGTGTGTGTGGGGG